AAAAATCTGAGAGACTACTTTGAGATAAATATGAACACTACGACTGAGAAAAGAGTGATTTGGGATGCTAGCAAAGCGGTGATGAGAGGATTTTTGATACAACAAAATGCAATTAGGAAAAGACACCAAAATGAGAAGAGAGAAAATTTTTTGGAGAAAATCAAGGATGGAGAAAAAAGACTGAGGGCGAAACCGAACTCACAGGAGATCTTAAAAGAGATAAAGCTATACCAAGTACAATATATGAAACTGATGAATCAGGAAATAGAATGGAAGATCAAACAGATGAAACAAAAGACATTTGAATCGGCAAATAAGTGTGGGAAATTATTGGCCTGGCAAATGAAAAGAAGACAAAAGCTGAATACTATTACGAATTTGGTAGTAGAAGGGAAGAATATACAGAATCCTGGAGAGATTCGAAAGTGCTTTCAGAACTATTTTAAACAGTTATATACGCAGGAGACTCAGAAAGAATTAGACATTGATCGGTTCTTGAAAATTAATGGATTACAAAAAGTATCTCAAGAGAGCAAATCAATATTAAACTCTATAATAACTGACCAAGAGGTGGAAGGAGCCATTCAGAATATGAAATTGGGCAAATCTCCAGGGCCAGATGGTTTAACTGCAAAGTACTATAAATCCTTGAAAGAATGGTTAATGCAACCTTTGAAAGAAGTCTGCAATGAAATACTACGGGGAGGAAAAGCACCCGAGTCGTGGAAAGAAGCATACATTACACTTATACCGAAAACAGAAGTGGAAAAGACACAGTTGAAGAACTACCGTCCCATATCCCTACTTAATGTGGATTACAAAATTTTTGTGGAAATTATGGCTAAAAGATTAAAAAACGTATTGGTGAAAGAAATTCATAAAGATCAAGTGGGCTTTCTCCCGGGGAGACATCTGTCAGATAATACGAGGAATATTATTAATATCCTAGAAAAATTGCAAGTTAATATTAATACTAAAGCGGTTTTAATATTTGTGGACGCGGAGAAAGCCTTTGACAATATTTCTTGGAATTTTATGAAGAAAAATCTGCAGGGGATGGGGGTAGGCCAAAGTTTTGAAAACGGTATAGGTGCAATATATTCAGAACAAAAAGCTAAGTTGATTGTAAATAATGTAGTTACAGAAGAATTTAAGATAGAGAAAGGAACAAGACAGGGTTGCCCAATCTCCCCACTGCTTTTTATATCGGTCCTGGAGGTTTTGCTCAATATGATTAGGAAAGACCAATTGGTTAAAGGTATACAACTCGGAGCTAAACAGTACAAATTGAAAGCTTTTGCTGACGACTTAGTTTTGACACTACAGGAGCCAGAATCCAGTACAAAAAGAGTATTGCAATTAATTCAAGAATTTGGTCAAGTAGCAGGTTTTAAATTGAATAAGATGAAAACTAAGGTATTAGAGAAAAATCTTACAGAGATTGAGAAAGAGAGGTTTCAGAAGGAGACAGGATTAACATTAGTTAATAAAGTGAAATATTTAGGGGTGCATATGACTGCTAAAAATGTGAATTTGTTTAAAGATAACTATGAAAAATGTTGGTTAGAAGTAAAGAAGGATTTGGAAATATGGTCAAAATTGAAGTTATCATTGTTGGGCCGAATTGCTGCGATAAAGATGAATGTATTGCCTAGAATGTTGTTTTTGTTTCAAACATTGCAAATTGTGGACAAAATGGACTGCTTCAAGAGGTGGCAAAGAGATATTTCTAAATTTATCTGGCAGGGCAAAAAGCCTAGAATAAAATTTAAAATATTAACAGATGCAAAGGAAAGAGGTGGATTTGCCCTGCCAGACCTTAAACTTTATTATGAATCAGCCGCATTTTGCTGGCTGAAAGACTGGCTACTTCTTGAAAACACGGACATTTTGGACTTAGAAGGTTTTGATAATGTGTTTGGATGGCATGCATATTTATGGTACGACAAGGTTAAAGCGCATAAGGCCTTTAAGAACCATATTGTCAGGAAAGCATTGTTTAATGTTTGGGTGAGATATAAGGATTTGTTGGAAAGTAAAACACCAAGGTGGCTGTCACCAATGGAGGCTAAGGCTTTGAAAAAAACTAATATGGAGACAAACTGGCCAAAATACTGTGAAATTTTAGAACAAGTTGGAGATAAACTAAAGCTGCAGAGTTTCGACAAACTAAAAACTAAAGTTCGAGACTGGCTTCATTATTATCAAATAAGGGAGGCTTTTAACCTAGATAAAAAGATTGGTTTCCAGGAGGAAAAATCCAAATTGGAAACTGAATTGTTAGAGCCTAAAATTAAGAACTTGTCAAGAATGTATAATTTGTTGCTGAAATGGAATACACAGGATGAAACGGTTAAATCTGCTATGATTAAATGGGCACAAGATTTTGGACATAATATTATGTTTGCTGACTGGGAACGGTTATGGACCACAGGTATGAAATTTACGGCTTGTAATGCTTTAAGACACAAACGTCCGTTTTCGAGTGCCACCTGGTACAAGCAAGGTCCAGTGACTCCCACTACTGTGGCTGGCACCCAAAGGGGTTAGCTGCATGGCATGGCTGTGGCTGGTCTGGGGAAGCTGCCATCTTCTTGCGCAGCTGGGGGAGGGTATGGTCACCAAGCACCACCCATCTCCAGCAATAATGGACCTTACAGGTATTGAGCGGGCAGTGCCCACAAGTCCAATCAGGGGCAGAGGCTGCCAGGCTGCCCCTAGCCTGTTTAAGGGGGTGGCCAGATATAGGCTGTCCTCTTGGCTGACGATCCAGGGATTTTCTCACCCACTCAGTATGTTATGGGCCCTCCCAGTGGGGTAGTGGGTGAGTTAGCTTATGGACCTTGCTGTGGTTTATTCAGTTGCTATATTTGGAGCCAGGAAGGAATTTTCTCCTGCCAGCAAATTGGCTGGATTACAGGTTTTCACCTACCTCATAACAACCATCACAACTTTGGCAGATAAGGCATTGAGCTGGATTACACAACTTGACTTGAACTCCTGCTTTCACCCACTATGTACTTGCTATTAATTCCCTGCCATTGAGGCTGTTAAGGGGGGCAGCTCTGGCTCTCCACTTTTGTCTGCTCCCTGTTTTGCTCTAGGACATGGGTAGGCAAACTAAGGCCCGGGGACTGGATCCGGCCCAGTTGCCTTCTGGATCCAGCCCATGGATGGTCTGGGAATCGCTGTATGGATCTGATTGTTCAGGCTGCGCCAGCGTGAGCATTCAGCGTCGCCTCCTCCCTCCCTCCTCCTAGCTTATGCCTGCCCTGCCTAGAGCCGAGAGGAAGGGGGGTGGGCTTTGTTGGTGCCAGCAGCAGCAGCAGCAGCAGCAGCAGCAGCAGCAGCAGCGTGATTGCTCAAGCAGCCACCATTTTAAGCAGGCTCAATTCAGGCTTTGTTGCTGCCAGCCCCTCTCATTCCACCGCTCATCATTCCACCACCGCCAACCCCTGCTGCTTGCAAGACACAGGTAAACAGCCACCGGGGCTCGTCCAGTGCTGCGGAGAAGGGAAGGTAGAGTCGGGGGGTGGCTTACCTGAGTAGAATGTGTCCTTTTACAGTGGTACTTCAGGTTACAGACACTTCAGGTTACTGACTCCACTAACCCAGAAATAGTACCTCAGGTTAAGAACTTTGCTTCAGGGTGAGAACAGAAATTGTGCGGTGGCGGTGTCAGCAGCAGGAGGCCCCATTAGCTAAAGTGGTACCTCAGGTAAAGAACAGTTTCAGGTTAAGAACGGACCTCCAGAACGAATTAAGTTACCCGAGGTACCACCATCTCTGGGTTATTTGTGGGGCCTGCCTGGTGCTCTTGCATAGAATGTTGTGTCCTTTTATTTAAAATGCATCTCTGAGTTATTTGTGGGAATTAGTTCATTCCCCCCCCCAAAAAAAAATATAGTCCGGCCCACCATAAGGTCTGAGGGACAGTGGACTGGCCCCCCACTGAAAAAGTTTGCCGACCCCTGCTCTAGGAAGTACCAAGAGGATCCTTCTTCAGATGAAGGCCTTACAGGTGAGGTGGCAGGGAGCAGACTCACACCTCTACTATTTGCCACTGCTACATAAATGCTCTTGGGAAGTTATGCAGTACTCAGAGCAAATGATCCTCCATTCCTCCCATCCCAGCAGTGTCCCTTGCTCTGCCAGCAGGTTGCAGCACTCCAGAATCAAAACTGATGGTGTCTGAAAGGTGTTGAAAAAATTGACTTCCTTCTATAACTGTTTCTTTCTAGTAATTTTATCCATTCTCATAATGTCCTAGAAGAAGAAGAAGAGTTTGGATTTGATATCCCGCCTTTCACTCCCCTTCAGGAGTCTCAAAGCGGCTAACATTCTCCTTTCCCTTCCTCCCCCACAACAAACACTCTGTGAGGTGAGTGGGGCTGAGAGACTTCAGAGAAGTGTGACTAGCCCAAGGTCACCCAGCAGCTGCATGTGGAGGAGCGGAGATGCGAACCCGGTTCCCCAGATTACGAGACTACCGCTCTTAATCACTCCACCACACTGGCTCTCTCCTAGATCTTTCTCTTCCAATAATCAATTGTTGATACAACAAGTCAATCCTACTAGTCGTGGCAATCAAACTTGGAGTTGTTAGAATCAGAGTAACATAATTTATTTGTGCTTCAAATGAAATTGAACTCTGTGATTTATCCAATATTTTGATTTATTTTTCCCTAATAACCCTTAATTAAACTGCAAGCACAATATGGGCAAAAGTGTCCTTACATCTCTTGCATGTTCCATATTCATTGTTGGAAACATTATACATAATTTACCTAGCATGCAATACTGTATTTGTATTAAAAAATAAATCAAGACTCCCTTTGGTGTGCATTTATTATTATTTTCACTATATGTTTACACATATAGTCTTATTCTTCTTCTGTGACAGTCAGAAACTTCATTCCAGTTCTATTTTACCAGATCTATGCCAGTATTATGTATTTTTGTTAAGCTTTTATATAGCCCAGATGAGAGACCTTTTTTTTCTGTCTAGAGTAATAAATCTTATGCTATGAGATTTCTCCTCAAAGTCTTCTTTTATAGCAGAAATGGAGAACTGGATCTGGCAAGTCACTAGATAATTTTCTGTCTACAACTGTGTGTGTGTGTGTGTGAGAGAGAGAGAGAGAGAGAGAGAGAGAAGGCGTGGCCACATTCACTACCCCGGATGGCTGACCAACAGCCAAATACTGGCTTCAGGCCAAATAAATAAATAAAAATGAACCACCCACACTAGGACAACAAAGGCAGTTTCAGCTTCAAAACTAGACCTAAAGCCCCATTGGAAACAGTCTAAGTAATCAGTTCTGCCCAATAAAATAGAGCAAAGAACCACACAAGTGGTTGAACAAGTGAAGTCCTCCCTGCATCATCACAGAGAGCAAGTCTATAGCCTCCCAATAGCTTGTTTAATAACACTGACATGGGAAGGGTGGGGGTGGGGTAGGGTTCCCATCCTAGCAGGGGGAAACGTGTAGTGAAGCCAAAACTCACATTTAGGGGAGGCATAGAACTGTGGGTGAAAGTGTAAGTTCCTTTTTTAAAAGTATTAATGTTCCTTTGGACCACATCAGCAAGGTCGAGGAGGAGAGGAAGTCACAGCAAGGAAACACAGTGGTTTGACTTCATCCCATTGCTCTCCATAGTCTCTAGCAACTTCCACATATTTAACTTATGTACAGCTTTAAAGTGCTTGGCAAATTTTTAAAAAATGAAACATTCAAAAGATAGGACTATTTGTGATTTTCAGACGTGATTCCTGGAACATAATCCTTCTGGAAGTTGAAGACTACCTGTATATTAGAACTGATATGACTTCATGCTGGGATAACCATGTGCAAAACAGAACAGGAATTGTGCATCCAGTCAGCAGCCCTTTCCCATCTTGTTTTGGGTGCTATACCGCACAGCAGGTTTAGTGAGTTTCCCAGGGAGATGCAAGGACACCCCTTCACTCCTAGTTCTTTTCCTGGTCTCTGTCCTGTTCTTGCCCTCCAACTGAAAATGGACCCAGAGATGGAAAGATGCATGTCGGGGTATTCTGTGGTCGTTTGCTTGCTCTTCCTCTTGAAGTCTGGCTCCAGCTGGTTTCGTTGCTGGCAGAAGCCAATAGGGAGGCAAACAGTTGATTCCATTGGGGGAAAAACACCTCCTCCCACCTCCAAAACTTGAACTCAATAGGTGTGGAGGATGGTAAGAGTGACCAAGATGGGTTTAACTCTGCATGTCCTCCATTTCCATACATTTATTAACAAAGCTGCAGCAATCTCCTTTCTGTCTCAGTAGCTACTATGGAGAAATTATTTTAATGATTGAAGTATACCCTGTGGAAGATTTCCCAAGTTTGTTTTGCTGCCGTGTAGATGCCTGCATATGAGACTTAACATGTGTACATGCGCTAGCCTTGGAAGAAGACACTTTGCGTTTGCCCCTCTACCTTTTTTAATTGTCAAGTCAGGTTTGCGGAGAAGCCGCCGCCGCCTTTTCCTCGCTGCCTCCCCCTGGGGAGGGAAAACACATTTAGGCACAACTCGGCCTCTTCGAAAAGCCCACTGCAAACCGAAGCATTCATCTGGCAATCTAGCACGAGCAATAAATTGGGTGGAAACAGTCATGTGACAAAGACACATGAGAACAGAAGCAGCAAAGCAGGCTGGGATGTGCTGGGACTGCACAATCATTTGGGCCGACTAAAGTTATTCAGACCTAACTGTTGAGTCACTTGGATATGTGGCTTAGTAGCCAGTTTCTCTTTGTGCTCTCTGTAAGATTTCAGCAGTCGGTCTGCCTCAGCTGTGAGCGGAGCAGCATGTAATCTCAGTCAAACTGTTTGGAACCATGTTGATAAATAAATTTATTTTAATTCAGTAAAGATTTTATTCTTTAGAACTCTTTATTATTAATTTACGCTGCGCGTCAGAAACCTGCAGGTGCTCTACCTGGGCCAGGTCCACGCGGCCTGTAGGCCGGTCCTTCCGAGGGCTTCTCGCCACCAGGAAGGGCGCCTGCCTGCCCTCGGCCCCTTCCCGCGTCCCGCTCGCTCCCTCGGGCTCCGCATTCCAGGGGCAGCGCCGCTACTCCCCGCATCCTCCGCCAACAAGATGGAGCTTTCCTGGACGTTTCCTGTCAGCTTCGATTCTTGCGGCAGCGGGGGGGGGGGGGGGCAAGCAAAGCAAGCGGCTTTGATTCCGCGTTAATCCGGAGGTGCAAAAACGGTCATTGCGGCTCTGGAGGGCCATGAGCTGAATTCAGTGCCGCTGCTCAGCTGCAGCCGGGAGGAAGCGAGGCGGGCGGCGATCCGCTTCGTCCCTCCACAGCCGGCCTCTCGCTGCTGCTGCTGCTGGCCGAGCTCCGTCGAGAGGCGGCGAAAGAGCAAGCGAGGCGGGCGAGCCACGGCGCTGCCCGCTCCGGACGCCTGGACCGGGAGCAAGCGGAGCCTTTTGCTTGCGGAAGACGCATCCCTCGCTGCGCGTCGGCCCGCGAGCGGGAACGAGAAGCACCGCGCCCGCAGGTAAGCCTGGCCGCCGAAGGGAGGCCGGGCAGGTGGGAAAGGGCCCGGCGCGCGGCTGCAGGGGACGAAGAAGCGCCACACGCGGGGGTCTCGCGCTGGGCTCCATCTGCTCCGGCGACCGGCGCGGTCTGGATCCGGGCAGCGACGCGCCGGCAGGCTGCGGAGCTGGGAGGGCGGGGCGGCTCAAGCCCGGATCCACGGTGAAGGTTTCTCCCTGGGGGCAGCCGGCTAGTCAATGTGCGGAGGAAGTGGGAAGCTGGGGTGGGTAGGTGGATGCGAGAGAGAGGGAGGGAGAGAGAGAGATTTGGTGGGCAAATATTGCAATTGCCTCAGGACATGCAGAAGTGAACACTATTGACCACAGCTAGCTGGCTGGCTGTCACATGCTCACTGGTGGGTGTTGGCTGAGTATTTCAGACATTCGCAAGGATTGTCAGTGTTCCTGTGTAAATGTAACATTTTGTACATTCGTTGTAGTTGTGCGTATGGATGTGTACAAATTTCTTATAGTGACTATACTAGCATCTGGTGAATTTGCTCATATATGAATGCTGATAATCCCAGCCACATTTTGTGTATATCTGAAAACAGGTGACACTTCCCTATTTTTCAGACGTCCCCATGACATGGCAATCACACTGAGACAACATATATCTTAAATTTCCAGACATAAAATTTTACTGGAATTGTCAGCATTCACCATTCAACATTCACCAGATTTCAGAGATCTAATTTAATGCTGCATGTAAAGTAGGAGAATTAGGGCATATGCCAGGCTCAATTAAGTGTTTCTAATAAGTTAACTTTCTAAATAAGTTAAATGTGCTCATGTTCTCCAACTGAAATAAATGCAGTGGCCCCATGGCTATATTGAATGCATGTAAGGCATCCCTGGCTATATTGAATGCATGTAAGGATTTGTAATTTCTGTAGTACAGTTGTCAACAATAGCAGCAAAATTTTGAAAAGAAGATAATTGTAGCCCTTAATAGGATGTAACAGCATTCCAGACAAAGGGAAGTGCATTAGTCTGGTCCCTTTCCATGGTGTATTCTTTAGCTGTTGTTCAAATCAGTCTTGAAGAAACTTCTGCCTGCTTCAGTTTATTTACCAGTATTTGTCCTTGGGTGTCCTTGTACAAAGATCCTTAGCTAGCAGTGCAATTCTATTTTTTGAGTTATTACTGCATTAAAATCACCCATCAGGATAAGAGATAGCAAAGAATATTGTCATGAGTGGTGGGGAAGACGAAGTAGGCTGTATGTGAGATCCTTCTAACCCCTTTAGGATTAAAATATAAGCCTGTCTAGCTTCCTGTGTTGAGGTGATAGCCTGGGTGATGAGCCATCAAGGGAAGCAAAGCAGAGCAGGTGAGGAGAGGCTCTGTGTAATACAGGAAATGGGTAGGGCCCTTTCCTCCTTGGAGATAGTTTGAAGGGCAAAGCCTGAGTTGAGAGTTTGCAGTATTGTGACCTAGAGGAAAAGGCAGCAAGCTGGAGAAAGAGTCAGAGTAACATTCACAGCAATGTTTGATTTTTGTTTAAATTCAAGGCTGCAGCCATGGGAGAAACAAGACCCTTTTAGGATGTTGATGCTCTGAATCCCTCCATTGCAGGCTAAGGTTGTACATATGTGTAAATATACCATAGATAATAAAAACTCCACAGTCTCTGCCTCATTTCTGAAGGAAACACGATTCCTGAGTAAGCGCCTGGAACCCCTGAAATCTCACACCACTCAGAGATTGTGGTGGTGCTCTACACTGGTGTTAGCAGTGGGATTTGTGTTTCCTGGAGGGGGGCCTGTGAGTGAGGGGTGCCAGAGTGGAGGGAGAAACAGCAATATTACTGGAGCAGGTCAGGTTAATGATCCAGCAGCAGTGAGGCCAGATGTTTGACAAGATGCTCCTGCAGCAAAGCCAGCAACAGATGGAACAGCAGAACCAGTGGTTCAGTGAAATGAAGCAAATGCAAGCAGAGTGTGTGAGAAAACTCCTTGGAGAGAAAAGTGTGACTCCATGCGAGGTGGGAGCCTGGCCTGATGAGATGCAGTTGGTAAGCTGAAGACAATGCCTTGTAGAAGGGTGAGTTGGCTGGAGCTGCTTTGGGCTCTGACATGTGCTCTGCCTCTGAGCTAAGACTTGTTGAAAAGGAAGCTGCTTTAGATCAGGGCAGACCTTTTGGCTCAGTATTGTCTTGTACTCCAGGGCGACAGGGCTCTTTCTCACCTCTATTTGAACATGCCAGAAATAGACCTTTGGACCTTCTGCAGACAAAGCATGTGCAAACCACTGAGCTGTGGCCATGTTACACTAAGCCTTGTCTTTTGGCCGGCTCTCTCTGGAGACAGCATTTACTTTTCCCTCACCATCCAGAACTCCAGATTCCCTTTGTGTCTGCTTCTTGCTCCACTGTAGCCTGTAAGATTTGAGAGGGTATTGTCTTGAGGCTTCGGACAAATTGGGCTTTTTAATATTTTTTGCTAATTACATTAAGAGTAAATGAGCTTTTAAAAAACACTAAGGAGTCTTTACAATATAGCAAACTGGAGCTGCCAGTCAAGCAGTGTCCCATCTCAATTAGACAAATGGAAATTAATGTTCCATACTTTATTTGAAGGAACATTTCTAACCCCTCTTACTTGAAGAATACCCGCCTTTCAGAGCTAGGTAAATGTTATGAAAAGTGAGAAGAAAGCAGATGAAAAGTATATGTTTTAGCTGTTTGGTGACTTTCTGGTTTCTGTTTGTTTGTTCCCACACTCTTGTTTAAAGATTTCTTCCTTTAGCTAGAAGTGTCTAGGATTGCCAGTTACCAAGATTTGTAATTAAATGTATGTTTCACCTTACTCCCTTAGATGCTTAGGTTGCTTTCCTTCTTTCTGGAAAATGCCTTTCCCCATGCAAGTCAAGGTTATTAAATGACCTGCCTCCATTCTCGGTAAATCATAACCGTGGCCTATGTAAATCCACCTCTTTTGTAAAGCCACTTATTTATTTTCATTTATTGATTTCAGCTTTTTTATGCCACTTAATTGCTGAAGTTTCTAGGTAGCGTACAAAAAGATTGCATGAAGTTTTCTATTAATAAAAACAGAAAATGTACCTGGCCTATGTAAATCCACCTCTTTTGTAAAGCCACTTATTTATTTTCATTTATTTATTTATTTCAGCTTTTTTACGCCACTTAATTGCTGAAGTTTCTAGGTAGTATACAAAAAGATTGCATGAAGTTTTCTGTTAATAAAAACAGAAAATGTACCAGCTGAAATAGAAGGATCTTCATCGTTGCTTATTGTTGATTGTTTCCCCTCCCAGTGTTGGTTTGAGTTTGTAATTTGGTTAAAAGGGAAAAATACTGAATATGGTAAAATAATAAAAATGTTGTTAGCTATTCCTTTCAGCTTTCTGTCTCCAGATTTGATAAGCACCCCCTTTAGACCCTCTGTTCGTATGGAAAGCGGGGAAATAGGTATGGTAAAAAGGAGGATTCCCTGGATGCAATGCTTAGATCCAGGATTGAGGCAAGTACTCTTTGGTGAGAGAGCCCCAGCATAGATTTGAACTCACAAAAAATGCTGCGAAGTAAAGCATGGAAATATAGGCTGTTAGACCTTTAAAATATCTCTGTCTAAGTTTCTTCCAAAGCTCCCCTCTTTCCATAGCATAGAAAGAGACCCCACATTTGGTAAGTTAGAAATGGTTTACTTACAAATTCTTCAAAGGGCAGATTCATATGCTTTTCTATACACCAGAAAGAAAAGACAGGCAATGCATCTTAGTTTCAAAAATGGTAACAGTTTCTAAATTATTTGTATAGAAACACAAAGATGACTTGCTGAAGCCACACAGTCTAAGCTTGGAGCATCCAGCACAGACATCCTTACTGGTCAGGTTCACATAGTGCAGACTGTTAGTATTTCATGTATCTGATCCTGCAGATACGATTGGTGTAATTCACATGCCTGTCTGGGAAGACTGTGGGAACGGAAGACAGCCTTATCTCTCTTCCATTGTCTGTACTGTTGGACTGTACTTTTGCTTTTACTTTGTTCTGTTTTCTCGCAGAGCTGATGAGAGAGGACGCCATGATGCTTTGTCTGTACATAGTGTGTACGTAAATACGTAGATTAGCTCTATGGTGTCTCACACTTCTTGCTGTGTAATGCTAGAAGATTAGTGTTCATATATGTGGGATGTGAAACACAGAGCAGTCAAGTACAACATCCCTAGAGTGGACATAAAACGGGGGTGTCTGGACCAGCCAGTTGGATTTTCCTGTTTCCTCCTAGGCTGGGACAGACTTCCTCTACATGTGACCAGAGGTGGGCGTGACCTCACCTATGCAGGTAACAAAATACCTTAGCGGAGGTCGCCATCCTTCTCTGTGACTACATTCATCGAAGAAGCAACATCTGCTTAGCCTAAGATGCTCTCTTGGCTTCCAGCCAAGAGAGGACAAAGGAGCTGTCTGCTTATGGGATAGTTTCCAGGTGTATATTACTTTTGTAACTTAAGTGTGCCTTTTGGGATCCATTTGTGAACAGAATGTGTGAGTAAACTCTTTTTATACTTTTATAGAAGACTGTGTTGTGTCTATATTTTTATGAGGGACTAAAGGGGAAATTACCAAACGAAACTTATTTTAGAGGCTTTAGTGAGCCTGAGCAAACGCATCCGCTGTGCAAGTTCAAAAAGGGGAATTTTACTCTGCTAAATTGTAGAACTTGTTAACACAAGTTGGAAAGGATATAATCAAACAATATATCCTCTCCTGCATCCCTGAACAATCCCACAATATACCATCTGGTATATGTCACTGGGCGCAATGGAGAAGAAGGGAAATGCCTTTTCCAGAGCTGCGCATACCGGAGGACACTCAGACAGTGGGGGCTGCAGGAGCACCCCAGGGCGTTTTCCGGCGTGTTGATCGCAATCGACTGGTCAATCACCGGATGGATTTTGGTTGATCGCACTATGGCCAGGCAGGCTTTGCTCCTCCCTCACAGCTGGGGCTCAGCTGTGGGAGGGAGGGAACTGCACCTCCACTTTCGCCATCCCGTGAGCTCCAGAACGCGGGCCTCTCTCTTCGCTCTACTAAGGAAGCCACCCTCGGCTGGGCAGCCGTCACTGGGTGTTGCATGGCCATGCTCATGCGGCTGGGAGAGGGTGCAGCGGTCCCCAAAGGAAAGTGGGGTGCAGGGTTGTGAGGCTGGATAAAAGGAGAGCCCCTTTCCTTCCTCTTCCATACAGAGCAGCCTGTGGCTTAATCAGCTGTAGCCTCTGTTTGGGCATTACGTGGAAGAAGGCGATGGAATCGAACGCAAATCCATGCTAAGGAAAGAAAGGGGTTTTTCCTGGTCACCAACAATGCCTTACACCTCGCCCCTAAAGTGAAGAAGTTGAAGAAGGACAATGGGAGAGTGTTCCAGTTTTTGATACTGGATAGTAAATCACAGCCTGCTTGAAGTTGGACATGCCTGATAGTGGATGAAAAAAGTTTGGTAACTCTTCCTCCAAAGGTGAGGGTCAGTGGTCTAGCTAAGCCTTGCAGGACAGTTTTCTTTTTGGTCTTAACCCCTACATGCATTAATTAGAGTTAAGCTTATTGGTTATATGAGGCTGATTTATCCCACACCCAGTGCATATTATCTGTCAAGCAAATATTCACAAGCTACATCTTTTTGTTGCTGTGAGTTGGCATTATTTTTTGGTGGTGGTGCTTTGTGTGTGTGTGTCATGCAAAACTTAAAAACGTAAAACTTAAAAAACAAAACAAAATGAAAGGATAATTAATAAAATCAAAGTTGGAGACAATATAATAAGCAATCCTAAGGAAATTGCAAATAGCTTCATGGAATTTTATAAAGAACTGCATTATGCTGTATTATTTTACTGTTGTTAGCCACTCTGAGCCCGGCTTCGGCTGGGGAGGGCAGGTTATAAATAAAATTTTATTATTATTTATTATTATTATTAAAGAAGGAAGACCTGAAGAGATAAAAGAATACCTGGATCAAAATAACTTACGGTACCAAAAATTTCTATTGAGCAAACTAAAATATTGAATGCTCCCATCACAGCCCTAGAAGTCCAACGAGCAATAAAGAAATCTAAACTAGGAAAAACACCTGGACTAGATGGCCTACCGGCAATTTATTATAAAAAATTAGAAGAGGTGTTATTTGAGTCATTAAAGACTACAATGAATATTTTAAAATGGTAAATTACCAGAATCATGGATGAAAAGTTATATAAGCCTGATTCCAAAACAGAGAACAGATTTAACATTGGTTTCCAATTACAGGCCAATATCACTCTTAAATAATGATTATAAATTATATGCTAATATCCTTTCTGAAAGAATGAAGACCATCCTCCAAACCATTATTCACAAAGACCAAGCTGGCTTTCTCCCTGGCCGCTTAATGCAGAACAACATTGGAAACATCATAAACTTGCTGGAATATTTCGAGACATGATTTGATAAGCCAGCTATATTTATGTCGGTAGATGCGAAGAAAGCGTTCAATAATATTTCTTGGAGATTTATGACAACCATGATACAACAAAATGAAATTTGGGGATTTATTTTGTAGAGGAATTCAGGCTATCTATACAAAACAAAAGGCAAGAAAAATCATATAACTGAGGAATATGAAATAAGGGACCAGACAGGGCTGTCCTCTCTCTCTGTTAATATTCATATTAGTGATAGAAGTTTTAAATAAGAAAATAAGAGAGGAAAAAAATATTAAAGGCATAACATTGGGAAATAAAATATACAAACTAAGGGCATTTGCAGATGATCTTATTATCACAACTGAAAACCCAAAAGAGGGCCTCAGTAAAACTTTGGAAATAATTGACATTTATGGGAAAGTAGTGGGGTTTAAATTAAACAGTGACAAAACAAAACTTATGGCTAAGAACCTTACCGCCCAAGAGAAAAAAGAAATTGAAAGGTCAATACACTTGAATTTTGCCAAAAAATAAAATACCTTGGAATCTGGTTAACACTGAAAAATATTAACCTCTATCAAGATAACTATATCATGACATGGTCCAAAGTCAAAGGAAATAAGGAGATCTGGAGTAGATTGAAATTGTCATTTTGGGGACATATATCGGCTATTAAAATGAATGCCAAAGATGCTCTTTCTTTTTCAAACCATTCCAGTCATAGGGGGGACAGGCTGCATTACAAAGCGGCAGAGGGAAATATCTAAATTCCTCTGGCAAGGACAAAGACCTAGAATAAAACATACACTGCCTATTGACATTAAAGGGGGGGGGGTTGGTCTGCCCGATTTAAAACTTTACTATGAAGCAGCCTGTCTCTTTTGGATTAGTGTTTACTTAAGAACACAGATGTATTGGATTTGGAAGGACATGACAACCGCTTCGGTTGGCATGCATATTTAAATTATGATAAGACCAAAATACATAAAGGCTTTATAAACCATATAGTAAGAAATGTGTTGTATAAGGTTTGGGCAAAATATAAAGGCTTGTTGGAACCCCAAACCCCAAGATGGATATCTCCTTTGTTAAAGGTTGTTAAGAAGAAGAATATAAAATGAATATAAAATGAAGCTGGTTGACGTATAACTCTTTATTACTAGAGGAAGGTAATCAATTAAAGCTTAAGAACTATGATGAAATGAAAGATCAGCTCTCGGGATGGCTACAGTATCACCAACTCTTTGAGACATTTAAACAAGACAAAAAATCCGGTTTCGCCACTGAGCCCTCTAAACATTTGTCTCGAACAAATGTTGGTGGTGCGGGAAAGTGAAGGAAATATGTATCATATGTGGTGGACATGCAGGAAAATTAAAGAGTTTTGGAATCTCATTTATGATGAGATGAAAAAGATCTTTAAATTAACATTCTTTTAAAAAAAACCCAGAAGCTTTCTTGCTTGGAATTTTAGGCAGAGAGATACCGAAAAATGTAAAAGAAATTTTCCTATACGCAACAGCCGCCACCCAAATGTTAAGTGCAATGAACTGGAAAGGGGGAAAGGTTCCAACAATAGCAAAATGGCAGAATAAATTACTAGAATATGCAGAAATGGCACAATTGACAGAGGTAATACAAAACAATCATTTATTCAAAAATGGGATATGTTTGAGAGATATTTACAAAACCACAATGGTGGTATGACATCTATGGCAGCGTTTGAATGACCCCTGTGTAAATTAATAATAAAGAAATAAGGAAAATTGGTACAATATTTTGTAAGAAAGTATTAGAAAATATAGAAAGATTAAGGTATTAATTATAAGTACATTCGATATCAGAATTGTTAAATACATCGGGAGTTGATGGGAAGTCTATTACATTTCTAAGAACGTAGGACGAAAGAGACTGTATAAAATTGAATCAACCTATATTTGCAAATTTGTATAAGATTACTTACACAGGATTGGTTTTTTATTTATTTAAGATTGTTTTTGTTTTTATGAATTTCAATAAAGAATTATGATGTTGGGAAGAAAGAAAAGCATAAAAGCCTTCAATGAGTCAACACCAAGTCCTAGGTGACAGGTGGAGAAAGTTTTTGAACCTAACAGCTGCTTTCTGTCACAGAGTACCTTCCAGAGACTGTACAACAGTGACAAAGAAGGGCAAAAGGGGTGGAACAGGGGATGTGAAGTTTGCATTTGAATAGTAGACAGCACTTCAGCCACACTAAAGTCAAGGAGTTTCTACACATGAACCACATTTCTTCATCCTCTCACTCAAGAGGCATTATTACAGTTCAAAGACACAATCCAACAAAGCAAAGGCATTCAAGGAAGGTGCAAACCAGAGCCAGTGACAGGTGTGACTTGAAGAGAATCCCAAGGGCTGGGTAGAGTGGTCTGTATTTGGCCCCTAGGCCCAAGGATACCTACCCTAAACTGTGGCGCCCTCCCAATTACCCATGCTGATCACTAGAAACACCACATAAACCCATTTTTGTTTCTGTGCCTGAATAGGTAATAAATGTACTTCTGATTGGCCGCCCATTCTGGTGGACGAGAGCTCTTTCGCTTGAAAGGGCACCAGTGCTTTGAAGGTGGGGGGAAACCGCTAGAACGATGCGGTACCCCATAAATAACCTCGGATTGAGCATTCCGAGGAGCTAGTGTTCCTGCTGGTGCCTGGAGCGACTCCCCCGCTCCCCGGTAAGCTCTTGAAAAGAGCTCCGAGAGCGAGTGGGGTTGGAGACGGAGGCACTTGGGAATAGACTCGCTTCCTTCGTCGCACAAAGCTCCAAGTCTGGCGATTGTGAGTGGCCAATTCCTCCAAATAACTTCGATTGGAAAAGAGTGAGTAAAAATTAACAATTTGGATATCTATTCGGAAAGTATAGGGATTTAAAAACGGAGGTCAATCCCTTCCTCTGATTAAAAGAGAAAACAGCCACAGTAGCTGAAGCCGCAATCTATAAAATACGACTTTTAAAAGACTTTTAAGTTAACCTTTGGATTCCGCCTTCTAGCAGGGGGAAGGGGGGGGACATACTTTTCTGATTTTCTTAATCCCTGCAGAAGACAGTTTGGATTTACGAGGTTTGGAATAGCCCAAGAAAGATGTTAAATTATTTTTGTATGCCACAACGGCCATCTGAATATTACTTGCTAAAAATTGGAAAACACAAGAACTACCAACAGTGGAAGATTGGCAGACGAAGATGATGGACTTTTCAGAGCTGGCTGACCCGACTAGAAGAATCCGCGACCAGAAAGAAGAGGAGTTTTAAGAGGACTGGAGGAAATTTACTGACTATTTGAATAAATATTGTAATATAAAAAATTATAAATTACTTGAAAGAAACAAATAGACCTAGGATTAAACTAAGCTATAATTAAATAAATGGGATTTAGAATATTAAGAAAAGTGAATAAGATGGACTATAATTGGAAATTGTTTTAGTTTAATAATGATATTGGAAAGCTGTTACTTTTAACTACAAGGAAACTCAGAAGGGAGGGATTAGAGGAAGTCAACCAAGATGTTTATATATACATTTTTATATATAAATAAGGTAATAAATGTAAGCACCCTGCATAGAGTCGGGAACACATTGGCAACCAATGTAGCTAATGTAAAGTGCTTGTTGCATGTGTTCAACTGCTGCCTCATTAGCACTTTTTGTATTAGCTGCAATTCACAGATAGTTTTCAAGGGTTGGATCCACATATAACACATTACAATATAGTCTAACCTGGAGGCTACCAGAGGATGAGGGGCCTTGGCCTGGCTATCTCAGTTCAGAAGTGGCTACAGTTGGTGCACCACCTGATGCTGCACATAGGTGTCTCTAGCCATTGAGGCCACAATGATAGTTCAGGGAGTGCTCTCCAGCTGTGCACCTGCTCCTTCTGGGGGACACCAGCCCTGCCAGAAGAGGCAATTGTGTCAACTGCTGGACATGAGGGATCAAGTTATAATAGCTGGAATAGGAACACAAGCAAACATATTCCTAACAAACATTGGAAGAGGAGAGTGTTGAAGACCTATGGCTAATTCGCAAGTCACAAAGAGCCACAAAGGGCAGACCTCCAAAGAGATATGCTAATGAGTTTGCTAAGACAGCAGTAGCAGCTGTTAAAAGCTCCAAGAAGGTATTTGAACCTTCAAGATTCCAAGAAATCCAGGATTTGGATTCAAAGGATGCTGAGCCATGGTTAAATGCCATGAAGGCTGAGCTTGATTCCTTAGAGAGGAACAAAACATGGGAGCTAGTTCCAGTAGTTCCAGGAATGAAACT